GAAAAGTCAGGTTACACAATGGAAGAAGATATTTTCAGACCACATGTCTGATGAAAAACTTATATGCAGAAGGTATAAGAACTCTTCAAAACTCAACAGTAAGAAAGCAAACAACTCAATTTTTAAAGCGAGCAAAAGACTTAAACACACACTTCATCAAAAAGGATATACGGATGGCAAATTAGCACCTGAAATATGTTCGACATCATTAGTCTTTAGGGAAATGAAAATTTAAAACACAATGAGAAACCACTACATACATTTTAGAATGGTAATAATAAATTAACAGTGACATACCAAGTGCTGGCAAAGAGAAGAAACAACTGGAATTCTCATACATTGCTGGTGAGAATGCAAAATGGTACAGCCACTCTGAAAAATAATTGAACAGTTTTTACACAATTAAATATACACTTGCCATATGACTTAGCAATCCCACTGTGGAGAACTGAAAATGTATGTTCATGCAAAACCTGTACGTGAATGTTTATAGCAACTCTATTTATAGTCACCAAATTTGGAAACAGCCCAGTGTCCCTCAGTGGATGAATGGATAAACAAACTTTGTGACACCTCCATACCATGGGATACTTCTCAGAAGTGAAAAGGAACAAGCTATCGATAGTGCAGCAACATGGATTAATCTCAAAGGCATTATGCTGAGTGAAAGAAGCAGTCTCAAAGATTTCATACTGTATGATTCAATTTATATGACATTTTGGAAAAGAGAAAACTATAGCAAGAACACATCAGTGGTTGCCATGTGTTAAAACTCATAGAACTGTACACCAGAAAAAAGGAAATTTTACTGTAAATTAATTTTAAAAATAAAAAAATTAAAACAGCAATATAAACCATCATGTAAATGTTACACACTTATATGAAAATTAACCATAATTTCAAAAACAAAAAATTAGTAAAAACGGTGGCATCGTTTTACGTTTTTGTAAATCTCTTTACTATATAGCTTAGTAGAGACAGCTGGATTCTCATATCTGCTTCTGCATTCATTATGTTGCCATACCACATGTCATGGAGTCTCTGAAAAACCCCACAGTACACTTGAAAGAGACTAAGAGTGAAAAAAGCAAATAATGTCTTAGTATTATTATGATTGTTGTTTTGACACTATGGACCACCTGAAATAGTCTTGGGGATTCCCCGGGGTTCCTGGACCACATTTCGAAAACCGCTGATATAATACACCGTCCCAAATTTTAGTCATTTTCATAGCAACTTGGCTTTTTTTTTTTTTTTTTTGCCATACCCACATGTTCCCATTTTTACTTAATGGTTTTGTTCAAATTTATCCATTAAATTTAACTTAATAGTTAACTTAAATTTGTGTAACAAGGAAACTTTCTATATCTCCTATAAATAGAAAACCAGGACCACTTTCCCATAAATGGAAAGTAGCCACAAAAATATATAAACAATAAGTAACTCATATAAAAAAAAAAAAGGAGTTTACCTACAAACCGTTTAAACTCATCTCTGCATGGTGTGCTTTGGAAAACGCCAATGCAGAGGTGTAATGACAGTGATAACGACAGCTAATTCTGACATAGCACTTCATTAATGTTAACCCATTTAATCCTCTCAATTACCATGAGAGATAGATAGCATTATTACCCTTTTTTTAAACATTTGTTAAAATTTTTTTTTTTTCGAAGCACGGGGGGAGGTTAAAGAAGTGTTCCATAGTGAGTAATTTGCAGGCCTGGGATTTGAACCCAGGCAGTCAGGCTCCATAGTTCAGGAAGAATGCTGTGTTGGCAGATAGGAAACCGGGATCCTTGTCCAAGTTCTACTAGAAGCTGGCACTCAAGTATGTCACTGAACCTTATTATCGTTATCAATAAAATGAGGGAAGTAGACTAAATCGGAGTATGCAAGTTCAAGCACTGGGTGCCTGCCCTTGGGGCCAAGCAGGTAAGGGAGATGTGTACTGAATGTAAGGCAATAGGGAGTGGCGGGGACAGTCGTAAACTGGAGGTCTTGCTTCTTGTTTAATGAAGGCAACCGCTACTCAGTTTCAACTGTTTTTTTGCTGTTGGTGTCGGGGGTTTTTGTTTTTCTTTTGTTTTTGACAGATATCCTTTCATTTTTATTTTATAAGAGAAGCTGAAAGTCTGGATACTTTGTGTATAATTTACCAATTTTCAGAACACTTGGAGAGGCCAGCTGTACCCATGGGCTGGCTGATTTATGACTTCTTGACTAGATGATCTCCTGTGACTTAGAGGGTTCCATAATTGACTTAGCTGTTTTTATAGCATGGTAGAAACAAAATCCAAATAACAGAAATAGGCAGTTTAAAATGCTGATGAAAAGGGGGATGGACTTAGAAAGTGTCTCAATACAGCCTACATAAATATTGATTAGGAGCCCAGTTAATTGAAAAGCCAAGGTACATTAATAGAATAATAAAGCGCATTTCTTTGTATTCCTTTTGTGTTGTATTAGAGTGCATCAGCAATATTTATCCAGTACTAATTCTCAGTTTGCAGAGAGCTAATGTAATCATGAGATGAGCTTATTGAAATTCTTTTCTTAGACATAGAGACTTGCCCAAGAATGGTGAGTATTAGGAACTTTAGTCAGCACTTGCTCAGAATAGTAAATACGAGCATGTGATTTATACCATTGTGTGTACAAAGTAATGTTTCCTGAGACATTTTCTCTATATATGTTGCTGTTTTGTTTTTTGGGTTGGTCTGTTGTTTCCCCCTCCTCCGCTTATCAGATTTCCTTCTAAATCCTGGCATTTAACAATGTTGCAGGGCCAGTTTCTCTGTGAATCCAGAGCAAAACATACTGGTGGTTTCACAATTAATCCAAACTGGGGTTTATGGCTTATGCAAGTTATGTGAATTCCTTCATTTGTTTTTATGTATTTCGTGTATGTATACAGAAGGTCTGTTTCAGAGAGAAAAGAGAGGGCAGAATCTGTAGACTGAATCTTGAAAGATGGGTTTATTCATCAGTGACATCATAAGGATTGTATTTTCTCTTGGTTAATAAACTATTTGTTTGGCGGGCGTTATAAGCCAGCCAGAGCTAGTCATGCCATTTCTTGGAAATGATCTGAAGCAACTGGTAGTTGAAATGATAATCATTTGATCAGAGTCAGAGCTATTTGAAAGTAACACTCATCTCCAAACTTGTCTCTTCTAGGAAACCATATTTGGTAAATTTGTTGCCCAATTCCATCTTTGCTAATGTTGAGACTTATATACCTTGATACTTAATTATTTTCCAATATACTCTAAACTTGATTTCTGGTATGCCCTGTCCAGAAGCTGTTCCCATATGCTTTGAAATAATACCCAGCCTGAATTTTTATTCTGACATTTAATAATCACTGTGTAATAGCTATCAAATGCATGACAACTACAGATCTTTTATTTCAGGAGGATAATATAGTGAATCTAAGTGAAATAATCCATTGAAATGGTACTCTGTAATATGCTCCACTGTTTACAGAAAGTATTCAAATATTTTTTTCTTGAGCAGAGGATAGAAACAGTTTCTACTTAGTCTCCCATTTAGTGGAAGTTCATATTTAATGGTGTTAAGAGAAAAGATTCTATTTCAAAAGTTTTACTTTTCATTCTGATAGAGTATTTGTTATTTTGCTGCTGCCTAACAAACTTTCCTCTCAGAAGCAGCTTGGAACTGGATGAGGAAAAGTGTAATTTTAGATCCTACCTTAAAACATTTTAAAAAAACTAAATCCAGGACTTCTTACTGTGTGAAGCTTACCTTAATAAACCCTTATTTGTTTTCTTTGGAGTAGTATGCGTATGCGTGTGTGTGTGTGTGTGTGTGTGTGTGTGTGCATGCGCGTGTGCGTACATGTGTAGATGGGGGAGAAGGAGGAAAGAGGCATGTGTAACAGCAAAATTAACCAAAGTCACTTGTGAATTCCTTTTGTTTAATATCTTAGAGACATCTTCCTGTTGTTTGTCAAAAATATTTCTAAGATTTTGTAAGCTTAGGGGTTTTTCACAGCTAAGTGTTCTTCAGAAATGTGAAGTAAAAGAAAGAAGTCAGTTCAAGTTAAAATGTCAAATGCTTCAAATAATTTAACTTAAAACCCAGTGAGATGATTGTCTTAAGCCTTTTCCTTCAGGTAACAGAGGCCCTTCTTTGCTCCATGTATGGACATCTATTAAATATCTCGCTGGATTAATTCTGAGTCAGGAAAGCTGGTTGTTTCCTGGAAGCAATTAAAGATGCTTAAAATTCAAATTTATGATCCATAGGAGAAACTTGTTTCAACTATTTTTTTTAGATTCAGAGGCTTTCTCCTCACTCGCCCTCTCGCCTCTTACCCCATATGTATTAAAAGAAAAAATCAGTTCATTTCTCAACTTACAAAGTTTTTAAGAAACATGAGAATGTGTAAGTTTCTTTCAGTGGGAAGCACATAACATTTATGAAGTATTTCTTTTGGGATTACATCACAGTTTTATTTAATTTTTAGGACAAAAGTTAAATTCAATATTTGTGTATAAGCCAAGGGAAAATGTACCATAAACATAGGAATTTTGGGGTGAGTCAGAGTTCCAAGAATCCCAGATTTACTTAGACCATTTATATAAAGACAGGCTAACCATTAGTCATCTAGTTCTCACTTTTTACTTTTGTAATTAATTGCACCTAAAAATTAGCTTTCACCCAAGTAGACAGATAAGCAAAGCAGGCTTTGGCAACTAGCATTAAAAATGGCTATTAGAATTACTGCCCAATTTTTATACATTTTATAATCATATAACAAATATACCTTATAAATTACTCCTCAGCTAGGCAACTAGCAGTGAAAAACCATTGAAATGAAGTGAGTTATTAAAGATTCTCTGTCACCAAAAAGCACATTGTCTGCTTACATAGGTTAAGCCACTCAAATGCTATTTCTGATGGGCTTTGTTGAAAATGTGTAATGTATCTCAGAACCACAAATAATGTTTTTGTTTTCCCTCGATCGCTTCTTGTAGGATGAAGTCATTGCTGTTTCCGAAAAGGTGATTGTGAAGCTGGAGGACCTGGTCAAGTGGGTACATTCTGATTTCTCCAAGTGGAGACGTGGCCTCCAGGCTGGGTCAGTGAGAACAGAGGCCTTGGGAAGGAATGGACAGAAGGAAGCTCTGCTGAAATACAGGCAGTCGACCCTGAACAGTGGACTCAACTTCAAAGACGTTCTCAAGGAAAAGGCTGACCTTGGTAAATATAATTTGTACTTCTAAATCTAATGTGTGGGCACATACAGTAACTTCCTTTTTTTGTTGTAGATTTTTCTGGAAACCCAGAAAAAAATATCTTGATATGTATTTAAAACATATCTAATATATATAAAATCACATATATATGACCATATGTCTATATAACATTTCTTTAACTTCATAGGGGCATGGCAGTATGGATGGACAGATGACTGGATGTGTGAGGGATAAAATTTACCTGTTAGATCTAAGGACCTCGGATGTGTAGAGCCCTGTGCCAGAAACTGAGTGACATAACACGTGGCCTTAACTGCTTCTAGTTGGTGGCAAGGCTTAAGACTTAATTAGGGCACCTAAAATTGAATGAAGGAAGAGTTTAAATATATGTTTTAAGTAGATAGTATGACATCTATGAACATCATGTTAGAATTTCACGTTTTTCATTTGGGTGGAAAGCAAAGTTCAGAAAGAGAGATGAGTTGCTTCATGTGGAGCAGGAGAGCAATGTCAAAGCAGGGAACTGCTGGTCGGCAGCTCATGACAGAGGTTTTCCTGAGCTTTTAGTATTTAGTGATCACTGTCAACTACATATTTTTTGTCTTTCCTTCCTCATCTTCTTCCACTGTAAGGTTAAAGAAGAACTCGAGATTTGGAGTAGTCATTCTAATTAGTGTTTGAATCCTGACTCTCCTGCTTATTAGCTGCGTGCACTTGAGCAAATAATTTAGCCTCTGAGCCTCAGTTTCCTCTCTGAAAAATATTGGAACTTTATAGGGTCACTGTGAGATGTAAGATGAAATGGAGTCAAGCACAGTGATTGGTGAATACAAGGGGCTCTATAATTAATTCTATTGCTTTTTCTTAACACTTTCTTCTCTAGTGACTTTTTATGTCTTTTCTTTTTTTTTTTCCCCCTTCTGTTTGTATCTCCTTGTGGCATTCACTGACTTATTCTGCTAGCATTGCTCAAGACCAAAGTTGTTGACCTCTGATTTAGACAACTTATTTCCTCTTTAGGCAAAGAGGAACTTCACTTTTAACATATTAAGGCATCTTTTTCTTTCATTCTAACACAATGCTGATTTTCATAGCCCTATTTTATGCCTTAATCTGATAACTTCCTGTTTTTTTAATTTAGGATTTAACTTGTAACAAATGTAAACTATTTGTCTTAATTGGCATAAAGAAACTGAATAACACCAGTAACTGGCTGTGTCTTTCATGTGATTCTGGTTTGTGATGAGCTGTGCTGTGTTTTGGGAATAGCATTAATATTTGCTTGCAATTTGGGTTTAATGATCAACAGTTTCCTGGCATCTTTTGGTAGATGTCGGAAAGTAATATTTTGGACATGGAAGCCTGATTGTCATGTGCACATTTAGAGAAAATTATTAATCTAGTGGTTTTCTTTTAAAGCCAAAATAATTTTTTTAAGAATCTTTCTCTATATGCTGTTACACCTTCTAATTCTATGAACACATGACTAGTCTTCTGACGTGTGATAATGCTGAATAATACATCTGTTTTGTTACTTTCCTAATATTTGATCTAAGTTGTATCTCTATTGTCTTGTTTTCCTTAACATTAAACCTTTCTTTAGTTTGTTTGATATTTTTTTAGTTATGGAATATACTGTTACTAATAAAAGCTAAACAGGAAACCCATGGGGGACAAAAGGATGTGTAGATGGTTAAGCTTGATGTCACACATATAAACAAGAGTATTTATAGCAGGGTTGTTTTATGTTTAAAATTAATAGTTTATTAATGAACATGAAAAGAAACCTAATCTCTTAATGCCATCAAAAGATTTAGAGGTTTTGATCTTTCTGAATTCTAAAAATTGTCCTTAATCTACGTTTCGAATAACTGATTTCAGATGAAATTGATTTATATCGAATATTAAAAGTGCTTAGTGGTTTTTAAATCTAGTTGTTTGTTAGACACACTAAGGGAATTTTAAGTAAATAGTGATTACTGAGTCGGCTTCCCCAGATTCTTCATTCAGTAGGACTGAGACAAGGCCAAGGAATGTTTGCTGATTCAAGACATTCTAGGTAATTCAGATTTTTTTTTTTTTTTTTTTTTTTTTTGCAGGGGAGGGGAGGTCTCACTTGGGAGACAGCTCTACAGTTAGCACTGAGGAAGGGAAAATATCAACAGGAAATTTGTTTGGGAGGCTCTCCTCTGCTGAGCAAGAAACACCATGTACTTTTTCTTTTCTTCTTTATTTTTAACGTAAAATACCCCTTTAAGGATAGAATTTAGGGCCTTGAAATTTTACTCAGTTGGTATGAACTGTGGGGAATTTGAGACAAATAGCTTTTGTAATTGGAATGCATACTGTGTTGTAATAATGTGGAAAGAGAAACAAAAAACTTTCCTTAATGTAATGAGTTTCCATTATCTTCTTGATCTAAGGTTTACAAGTCTACATTGTTAGGATTTACATTGGGGAGACAGAGGGTGTCGTTTGCTGTACACATGCCTGTCCTAGCAACTTTCTCTTCCACCTCTTCCTTTCTCTGTCTGCAACATCAAAATGTATGTTGTCTATACTTTTCTTTCTACGCAGTGGTTTTCTTATCTCTCTCCTGGCCGCACTAAAACCACTTCCAATACCACATTGTTAATGGAAGTTCACACACTTATTAGGTTTTTCCTTCTGTAGAACCCTTCCAACTCCTCATTGTTCTTACCAAAGAAAGAAGATGAACTCTGAGATTATTTAAGACCCCCCCTCCTTTTTTTTCTGGTAGAAGGAAGCAAAGAATGGAAAGATCTCACCTTTCTGTGGATAAAGTAAAACTCCAATGTGTTGTTTTTTTTAAGCTGAGTTATTTCATTATGTTAAAACATCAAGAATAATAAAATAATTAGGCTGACTCTTAAAGAAGGGATTTTACCGTATAAAAGCTAATTAAAGAATGCTTCTTGCTTAGTGTTTAGGTAGAATAAATTCCCTTTAACCTCAGTTTGTGTCACTTCCTGTCTCTCTCTCTGAATAGTAAAAAGAAAAAAAAACAAAAATGTTCTCTCACAAATGTGTGTCTGCCAACAAATTAATACGCCACAAAGAGAAACTCTGCCCCAAATGGCAGCTTCCAATAACTGCTCTGATTCAAATCACAACTCTTTCATGTTTTATGCCCTTCCCCTTCAAGGACAATATTTGCAGATGTCATATTTATGCTTTTATAAAATCTCTGGAGTTTTCATTTAAGATTCTAAATGACTAATGACTAAAACTACAGATCTAGATAGTGGAAAAACTAATAATCTTAAACACTTCTGAGATGTGTTAGAGTACATTCATCCCCTTCTTCCTCTTTGCCCTTTACAGAGAAAAAAAGTTCAATATGAAACTAATTCAAATTGTGACTTTACTCAGTGAGATGTTTTACCTTCTTTCAGACAGTTTCATATAGAAGTTTATTCAAAAAAAAAAACTATATTAAAAGAGAAGGGTTAAGGAATGTATTATTCATAAGCATAACAAACACAGGAACCTGTTTTTCCAGAAGAATTGGGTTGATTAAATCATTCACTACACAAGCCTCTAGTTATTTATTTTTGTCTTTAGAATTACAGTACTTAGCTTTTGTAATAAAGTGGACTTGATACCCATATTTGGTATGGCAGCTGGAAGTAACCAAATGAAGAATTATTTCATTTTACAAAATTTTTAGCATCTAAGGAATATAAACACTATTAGTTAACTGTAGCAAACTTGCATTTTTTTATTCCTTGGGCTATAGTTTGAAAAAAAAATCAAATTATTTTATATAACACTGCTTCTTACAGAGTTCCTTTAAGTGAAGTATGAAAGCTGCAGTGTAAGCTTTATTGGCCTATAAATATGTCGTTATAGTTGGACTACATTTATATGCTTTGGATTGTTGTTTAAGCCAAGAAAATATGTCTCTACAGGTTGACTTTTTATTGGAACCCTTTGAGGCATACAACAGAATGTATTTTAGGCCAAGGTTATTAAAACAGCATTTTCATTTTTTTGCAGCAGACTCATTGTCAATTATGCTACCACAAACTGTCTATAGATGGGCAGTTATGAATGGCTTCATCTCCAAATGTGTCTTTAGGAAAAAGAAAAGATAGAGGATTCTGAGCTGAAATTGAGAAAAGAAATCAAAAGCTGTGGGTGTACATATGGCTGAATTTAATGATGGGGGTTCCCTCAGTTCAATTTCTGTTTCTAAAGTCCCATCGAACTTGAGGAAGAGTGGCTTTCCCTGTCCCTTCTGTCACTGAGATTTTTACTGTACTTTAGGGAATAGACAGCATGGTAGTGTTGAAAGAGCACAAGCCTCTAGTTACCTATGGGAAGTCACCTATGGGATGTCATCTGGGCCCCATATATAGATCTGTTACTTACTGGAGAAGTCACTGCGTGTTTACAATTTCATGTTCCTTCTGTATAAAATGGGGAATGATGTATAGCTGGCTTTATCTTATTAGATTTTTTAGATCAACTGAGAAAAAAATTATATCTGTGGGAGCCTTTAATACTGAAATCTAAGATGGTATTATCATCATATTATTACTACCAGAAGGAGGTTCTCTATGACAGGGAGCTGCACAATACAGTGTTAGCTTATTTGTCCCTTTTGAATTCACCAAATCACACATTCTAGTGATTTAGAGCAGGGTTTATTTTCATCACTATCTGCCTCAATAAAAAACTGTTATTAAAATCCTTCAAATCTTTGCTTTTACTTACATATATTTCTACAATATATATTGAATATAAAATATGTAAAAATACATTTTATATATTTCTTTATAGAGAGATAGACATTTATATTTTATATAACTTTCTCCTTTCAAAAATTCTGTCAAAGTAATCTGGGCCATAAGTGGCCAGTAGTTAAGTAACTTCTCAGGTACTCTTAGTTAGAAATTGACTATAGTCTTTGCTGGGAAATTCTGGAGGCCTTGTATTCACATAGTGGTGGTAGATCACTTTTGAGTTTAATATGTCAAG